GCTTGGCTGATTCTGTGGGCTGTGTTCTCCTGGTGTCCACCACCCCTCCGGCTCCTATAGTCAATCTTTCCTCCCCCTCTTCTGCAGGTTCCCAGAGCTCCACCTAATGTTTGGCTCTGGGTCTCAGTATCTGCTGTTGGGTACAGGAGCATCAGAAGTTGAATGTGCTGGTTTTATATCAAGTTTGAAGCCAGCCTGGTCTACATGAAACCCTGCCTTGAAATAATAATTGACCTTACCTACTGTTTCTTTTATTCCAGTTACCTACTTTTGGGGGAGGTTGTTTTGGTTTGGTTTGGTTTTGGTTTTTCGAGATAGGGTTTCTCTCTGTAGCGTTGGAGCTTATTCTGGAACTCACCCTACAGAGATCCATCTGTCTGTGCCTCTCGAGTGCTGGGATTAAAGATATGTGCCATGCCACCACCACCCAGCTGGGTTTTTTGTTTGTTTGTTTGTTTTTTCTTTTTTGGTGTGTGTGTGTGTGTGTGTGTGTGTGTGTGTGTGTGTGTGTGTGTGTGTGTGTGTGTGTGTTTAAACTGTAATGGACTAACAACCTGACAGTTCTTCTATGTTCCCGATGTCATTTAGGAAGCTTGAACTCAGATCCAGGGCACAGCCTCATCACTCAGAAGATGGCCGAACAACCAGAACCTAAGAAAGGAATGAGGAACTACTGGTGGGGGCTATTTTAGTGAACAAACACAGGATTGGTAGGGAGCTGCTTTAGTTGTTTTGAAATAGTGTCTCTAGTAGTTCAGGCTGGCCTCGCACTCCCTAAGCACCTGAAAATGACCTTGAACTTTGCTCTGGAGCCTAGGGATGACAGGTGAGTGTTACCACGCCCAGGTATGTAGCACTGCTGATCTATAGTCTCAGCCCCAGATTTGGCTTTAAAAACCAAAACCATGCCGGGGCAGCAGTGGCACACACCTTTAATCCCAGCACTAGGGAGGCAGAGCCAGGTGGATCTCTGTGAGTTCGAGGCCAGCCTGAGCTACAGAGTGAGATCCAGGACAGGCACCAAAGCTAAGCGGAGAAACCCTGTTTCAAAAAAAAACAAAAAACAAAAACTAAAACCAGTATAACAGTTACTCAAGGAAGCAACTCAGGGGTCATCTTCTGCCATAAATAGCACAAGCCTGAAGGAAAGAGCCCTGCATGCCTGGGATTACCTGAGAATGGCATTCCTCCAGGCCTAAGAAACTCTGCCATTGGGCCTGCATGAGACCCAAGCCGGGCAGCTGACTGTTTATGGCCACCACCGGCTCACAAAGAATCCAGAGATGCTGATCGGGCCAGAGGCCTGTAAAAACAAGGCTGGGATGATGAAGCATGGACACTATGAGAAAAGGAATTGGGACTCTTTGTTTGTTTGTTTTGCCTCTGGGGGCGGGAGGGGGGCTTATTTTGTGCAAAATAATAAATGAGTCTTGAAAGGACCAGCTAAGGGGCCATTCATATTCATAGGGGGAAAAGTTGGGGGTTCTGGGGCAGGGGACTTTGGGAACTGTAAGAAGATTTAGGGAGTTGTATTCGTATGGGAAAAATATTGCATTTTGCTAACCAGGAACTGGAATTTCACCTTCCCTACAAGGACAAGATGTGATTTTAGCAATGCCTACCACTTTATTAATCTCCAAAATCATAAATATTTTCCTATTACATTCTGTTCCTGTGAAGATACATTTATGAGGATTTCTTCTTTAAAATAATCAGTTAGGGACTCGGTGGCGTAGCTGTGGTAGCGTACTTGCCTAGCATGTACAAGGCCCTGGGTTCAGTCCCCAGCAGTGTGCATCCACGCACATACCCGCATGCATGCGCGTGTGCACACACAGACATTAAATACAGCACTTAGTGTGCTCTGACAATTGTCAGACAAACAACAAAGAGATCTCCCTCTCCCGTCTTGTTTGTTTGTTTTTGCTTTTCCAGACGGGGCCTCTCAATGTAGACCAGGCTGCCCTTGAACTCAGAAATCTACTTGCCTCTGCCTCTGCCTCCTGAGTGCGGGGATTAAAGTCATGCACCACCCTCTCGTATCTTAGATGCGATCATCCAGGTAACGTGTTTCAGGCATACGATCACAAGCAACAGAGGACACAAACCTGTGGGCCTCCACGACCACTTATCCTGTTGTCTGATGGACGAGTCAAGAGGCCAGAACTCCCAGCTTAGGGGAAGGAGAACAAAGAGCTGTCTGCAGGAGGACCAGCCCTAGAGACACACGGTGGGGCTTCCGGAGTTCTGGTGAGTCATGAGCATGGCCTAAGAGGAAAGCACCTGAGGCCGGGGAAGAACCATAAGAAGAGCCCGGGAACGAAAGCTGGATTTCACTTCACCCAGAACAGTTCCTTTTCCCGGTTGTCAGAGAGGAAAACTGTCATTCATGGGTCACCTGGTAGGGCGGAGCAAAGTGAGCCCTAGAATAAAGGACGCTCTCATGGTTATTAACAATATTTACAGACGACCTCAAAGGCAGGACCGAGTCAACTGTGTGGAGGGCCAGTCAGTTAACAGTCCTGGAGCCTCCGATGCAGCAACTCACTCTGCTGGTGTAGCACACAAACACCCACACACGGTGTCTGAATGGATGAGAGGGGCTGCGCTCGAATGCCTGTGATCCCCAGATTCGGAAGGTCGGGGGCCTGGAGGAGCAGTTCAAGATTGTCCTCTGCTACACATCAAGTTCAAAGCTAATCTTGGAGACTTAGGACCGTGTCTCAAAAAAAAAAAAAAAAAAAAAAGACAAGGTCTGATAATCAAAGCAAAAATTCCAGCTGTGCAAAGAAACAGAAAAATATAAAATATAGTCCATGATGAGAAAACAATACAATAGGAATAGATCAGGAAACGATGGAATTCGTCAACAAGGACATCAAACAACTATTGAATGTAGACAACATATGTCCATAAACATAAAGAAAAACATGAGAATGTGATGAAATGCCATCAAGAGAAAAAAAAGACTCAATTCAAATTTTTAGAAATGAAAAGGATATTGACAATGAAAAATGCCTTGGGTGTGGATGTATTGATTAGTTTTTAGTTGTCAACTTGGCGTAATACAGGAGGAGAGGCCCGGTGAAGGTTTATCTAGATCTGGTTGGCCTCCAGACATGTCTGAAGAACATTGTCTTGATTGCATTGATTAAGGTGGGAAGACGCTCCCACTCTCGTTGGTGCCATCCCAAGGCAGGAGATCTGGGTTCTCTGGGAATGCAGAAAACCAGCTGAGCCAGCGGCAATTTATCCTCTGCTCCTGACTGTGGATGTGACATGACTAGTGATGTCTTAAAGCTCCTGCCTGCTGCCTGGAATTCCTGGCTATGATGGACTGTAGCCTGGAACTGTGAGCCAAATAAACCTTTTCTCCCTTGGGTTGCTTTCCTCGGGGTATTTATCACAGCAGCGGGAAAGAAAACTAAGACAGCAGATCAGCCCCCCAGGTGGAAGTGAGTGGGCTACCGTAATAGAAACTCCACACTGAAATGCAATGGAGAGGCGGGTGAGAGAGTGTAAGGAAGACCAGAGCAACTGAACCGTGAGGCACCAGGCAGCCCACTGTCCACACATTGGACATCCCAGAGAAGACAGGAAAACAGATGCAAATGCTTGAAGAGGTCAAATACGATATTTATTAAAGCGGCTACCAGATCTTAGTGTTAACAAGAACTTATCTCCTATCAAATCGCTCCCTCTTCAGTGTTTCAGCTACCATATCTTCAATATAATGTATTCCCTGTAAGCCTATGCTTTTAATGTTTTTATTTATTTATTTATTTATTTATTTATTTATTTATTTATTTATTTATTTTTATTTTTTGATTTTTCGAGACAGAGTTTCTCTGGGTTGTTTTGGTGTCTGTCCTGGTTCTCGCTCTGTAGACCAGGCTGGCCTCAAACTCACAGAGATCCACCTGGCTCTGCCTCCCGAGTACAGTTTTTATTTAATTTTAAACAATGTCTCATGAAGTCCAAGCAGCCCCCTCATGCCTCTGCTGTCACACCTTCCCTGCCATGATGTACTGTACTCAGTGAACCAAAAACAAAACAAAACCAAAAGACCCAAAACCTTTCTTCTTTAAATTGCATTTGTTGGAGTATTTTGTCACAGCAACAGGAAAAGAACTAAGACAAGATGGGTAGGGGAGATAAGTTTTACGTCTGTATGTTGTATAACAGTTTCCTCTGAGATTAAAACATTCCATCCTGCAGGAAAACCCTTAATCAGGAAGATAAACAACTCAAAAGAGCTCCAGGAAGTTCCTGAAACTGACCAGATTCACTAGGCTCCTCCCAGCCGGAGTAAGCAATAAAAGATGGAATTCCCTCTCCAATGAAAGGAAGCTGAGCTGCATAGACTGTGAGAGAGAAAAGCTGCAAAGACATCTGAGGTCAGATGTACTGCCTGGAAGGAGCAGAAATCAGCTGAGCTGCCTAGAAGAGGTTTAGACCAGAATCACTTGGAAAGGACCATCTCCAACCTGCTGAGGTGCCTTGCAGGCTGTGTGCACTGTGCTCTAGGTTTCCTAACTTCTGTGACCTGTCACCCATGCTGGGGTAGGCTTTGATGATGCAGCTGTCTTTGAGTCATTCCTGCTCCTGTAAGTGACCCCTCACCCATACTCCTGGAAGTAACCCCAATAAAACTCATTGGCTCACCACATTGGACTTTGGTGGTGTCTGTACTTGGGTCTGCGTGGGATCCTTATCTGGGGTGAATAGAGGTGTGTACTGCATCTCCCCAGCAAAGTCTTTGTCATACAGCAGTATATCCTTGGAAGATTATAGCTGGGCAGTGATGGTGCCCACCCATGATCCCAGCACTCAGGAGGCAGAGGTACGTGGATCTCTGTGAGTTTGAAGCCAGCCTGGTCTATACAGCTAGTTTCAGGATAGCCAGAGTTACACAGAGAAACCCTGTCACAAAAAAACAAAACCAAACCAAAAAAACCTCAAAAACAAAAATAAAGGAGATTATACTAGAAGAATATATGGTATGTAACTAACACCGCTAAGATATCTCCCAAACCTGAGGTATTTGGCATCAGTGAGAACTCATCTGGCTGGCACCTTTTTATTCATTAGTCCCTCCACCAGCCCTAGCTGTATGTAGATGAGGAAACAGATGCCAAGACGCTGAGCTAGACCACACACACACACACACACACACACACACACACACACACACACACACACAAAAGCAGGAACCAGTATGATGGGGAGGTAGCAGAAGAAATCTACTTGGGTGGGGCAGGCCACAGAACAAATGTGGAAAACCCTTAAGGGAACCCCATGCCCAGCATCTCTAGGACTTTCACAGAGGGAGTCCCCAGCCTCTCTGGACTACTTCTTCTTCTCCTTCTTCTTCTTCTTCTTCTTCTCCTCCTCCTCCTCCTCCTCCTCCTCCTCCTCCTCCTTCTTCTTCTTCTTCTTTCTTTTAAGTGGAATCAGTCCATCCTAGAAGAGTCATGGGTGATGAGTACTGGAAGACAGGAAAACACATCCCATCCCTCTGCCCTGCATTTGCCAATGACTGTTGCTCAGATCCTTCTGGAATCTTGTTTGTTGACTTATTTGTTGGAGGGTTTTGCTGTGTAATCCAGGCTGGCCTTGGAAGCTCAATAAATAACCCCTGCCTCAGCCTCTGGACCTTCCGGACCTCCTCTTGGCTCTGTGATTAACAGAGGGTAAATGTGAGGCTGCATGCCTTAGGTTCCAAGCCACATTTCTTGTTCCCAGTACCTGGGTTGTCGCCTCTTAGACAAGAAATGGGACTTCTCCCTCACTGAAGGGGAGAGAAGAGCCTACACCGTGGACATGATTCTTCTGGCAGGTATCGGAGGAAAACCATATCTCCATGGCAAGGTATTGTGGGACACCTGAAAGGCAAATCGAAGCCTCTAGTGTCTTCCCAGCGGCCCACTGGACTAGCACTGTCATAGAAATAAGATCATCATCGGAATCTCTTCCCTTCCCTTCTCCCTCCCTCCACCTGCCTGCCTGACTGTCCCAGCCAACCCTAGGACAGAGCCCCTGAAGTGCCAGATCTAAGGGAGACACAACATCCCAGGTCCTTCCCTGCAAGGACTCCCTGATGGTCAGGCACACAAAATAGTGAAGCATACTCTCAGAGCAATGTGGGAGGTGCACGTTGCTGGGCGTGGCCTTCCCTCCTCTGAGCTCCTGGTGCTCTGTGCCGCTCTGTGCTGCCTGCACTGGCAATTTCAATTTGTGACTTCTTGGAGGTGTCTCAGCTTTCTCTCTTGGCTGTGATCTCCCATCTGAACTCATTAAGATTTCTCAAAGTAAGCCAGGTGGTGGTGGCACACACCTTCTTCAATCCCAGCACTCAGGAAGGAGAGGCAGGTGGATCTCTGTGAGTTCGAGGCCAGCCTGGG